CGATATTCTAAAGCCCTGTGTCGATTTTTATTAAGGTTTAAAATGTCAACTTTCCTGCCAGCCATTCATTTTTATGTTGTAGTTCAGCCTCTGACCACTAGTTGGCAGCAGTGAGCCAGCCACTTGGCTCCTCTGCCTCTTGAGCGCCAGAAAGTAAGAGAGCATTAGCATTGTAAGTAAACATTAGCTTCATGCTCCGATAGCTGAATCTGAGTGGAAAAGACCGACACCCTCTGCCTTCTAAGCTGAGGTAAGGTTACAAACATTTACTTATTTGTCAGGATGTCTGTATTTTAAGACAAATTAAGTGTCTTGTGCGCTCTTTTTTCCAACTGTAGTCAGCTTTCACGTTACGCATATAGCGCATGCGTCTATCACCTCGAGCGAGCTCAGCACTCCACCCGTGACATAAAACTCTGTCTGTTGCTCTCAATAGCTACGTTTACATGGACAAAAGTAATCAGATTAAACAACCGTTCGGACTAAAAATGCGTCATGTAAACACTTAATCGGATCATCTTATTCTGATTGTAGAAAACTGACCTGTGTTCATGTCTGCTGACTTTCATTCACCCGGTGGGACAGCAGCGCTCCAGCTGCGCTGCACCGCACAGAACTTTTCCTCCTCGCTCTCTTAACAGATGAAAAAGGAGGCAAACAGCAGACGTTGCTTCGCAAAAAATAAAAAACACGTATTGCTTCATCTGCTGGCTGCAGCTCAACCGAGGAGTAACGGCYTCTCTACCGTTATTAAAAGCTGACACGGGCATCAAAGTCCATATACTTTATCCATCTGTGTTCGCTTCTAAAACGGTTTAACTCATTTAGCTTCTCAATTTCTTAACTGGTTTTCTTCGGGACTTGCCCTTCTGTTAACTGGTTTTCTTCAGGACCTGCCCTGCTGTTAACTGGTTTTATTCGGGACCTGCCCTGCTGTTCAACCCACAGTTATACAAATCATGTTCTGGATGCAGAATATTAAAAACTAAAAGCTGCAAAAAATATATTTTCAAACTATTTATTGGCAAATTTAGTCTAATAATTGAAAACATGGATGAAATATGAAACAAATAAAATAAAACACATACAAAGCAGAAAACAGCTAAATGTATCAAAAGTATGTCTATGTAATATTAGAATTTTCTCAGACAATGAATTTTTTTCTTTTCCAGTAAGAGGTTTTTATTTAATAGAATTTTTGGACCAAAAATATCGCAATATATCGCCTTGTTTACAGTATCGAAATATATCGGGATATATCGGGATATGTCGTATCGTGACCCCTCTGTCGTGATATGTATCGTATCGCCAAATTCTTGCCAATACACAGCCCTACAAATTACCTTTATTAAATTGTACAGAAGTTAAAATGTTTACTTTTTTTATTATTTTTAAAATAAGTGGGTTTACTTATAATATAACAAACTGCAAACAGCTTTTATTAAAACTGTGTTCATCTAGCAATTCCATGCTTCAATCCAATTGAAAAGAACCAAGAACATGAAAAGGGCCATTAAGCCAAACAATAAAAACACCCAATTATGACATGTATAGGATGCAGTTTCATGCAATGGCATAAAAATGTAAATGAGCAGATAATTTACCAATCAATCATAAAGGCGTTTTGACATACTAACATTATTCATAACTTATGCTGATTTCCATTTAGCATGCTTGAGGTGAGTGAAAACCAAGTGACTAAAATGTGTTTGATGAATACCATATAATTACCAAAAATATGAAGGATGAATATGAACTAAAATATATTTGATTTTTTTGAATATTTGAAGCCAAGTATACAAAGATTACATTAATACAAAACTTTTGTAAAATAAAATAAAATAAAATAAGATAAAATAAAAACAAAACAAAACAGGGAAAATAAAGTGTTTTTGATGAAAGATTATAATCTTTTTACTTAGAGTAATTTTAAAATATTTTTATTGCATTACCTTGCTGTCAGAGAGCAAAGACATTTTATTGTTTTTTCAAAGACACCAAAAGCCCTTCCTACAAACTGTAATTTTATCTTTCAGAACACTTTAGTTTCTGGTTTGATAAGGCCTTGACTTTAAAATTTTAAAGGAACAAAGATGCTTAAAAAACAAACTAACACAAAACACTAACTGAAAGCAGGCTAGCAACTCACTTGTTCTGCATGATGAAATTGTTTTTGCTAAAAAATAATCTTATTGCTTTAAACAGATCTCTCAAGTGGTTATTACTGCTTCAGTTTCACATCAAAGGCTGTTGGTAAGAAATGAATCTGAAAATACTGTAAACAAAGGGGACATATAAAATTAAACTAGTTTAAATGATTGAAATCAATTCTTGATGGCAAGACAACAGCATCAACAGCATTTTCTTGAATACCTCTCCTCCATTTGATAATAGATAATTTCAAATAATTCAGACTATTTTAGGGAACAATTCTTAAAGACATATTTCTTTAGTGTCTGCCCTAATTTGAAGCTGCTTTCTTGAGTTTGAGCCAATATAAGCCAGGTGGGTTATAGACTTTCTGGTTCAGGTAAATGAGTCATGGCATCATCTTTGATGTACATGTTCAAATGCAACATTCCCAGTGATTTCCGGAAAAGAAAAGATGCTATTTCTGTGGGACTTTTTTCAGAAGAGTTTTAGCTGTAAGGGAAGCTGTCATTGACTTAAAAAGGATTTAGCTGTGCATGTGTCAACACATGCATATGAACACTGACTCACTCAGAATGATTGTTCAGAARGCTGTCGCTTCCAGACATGGTTTATTCTCAAGTTATTGTAAGGAGGAACATTTGTGTGCATGTGCATAAGTGCATCGTAATTTTCTTTCAGTGCTGGGAATATTTTAAACATTCCTACACTCAGAAACGAAACTGAAGTACTTTCAAACATACAAGCCAACAGTACAAGAAATACTGGATTAAAAGGAAATGAAGTTAAGTGATTTCCACTCTGTCAAACTAGGCTAAGACCTCCATGAGACAAGAAAAAGAATGGACACTAAATGCACAAGTTAAAGCTGTAATGTAAACAAACATATTTAGCTCATGACTCAAAATTAGGCACAATAACGGTAAACTCCTTTTTCATGATCAGTACTAATGTGACATTTTGGAGCTAAAAACAAAGCAATGTGCAAATATGAGAATTGTCCAACAATAGTTTATTAGATTAAAATTTGATTTGATTAACTGATAACATTCGCTTAGACCTTATATCAGTGTTGTTTGGCAGCCATGCATAAAAGTGTGAAAAAACATAACAAAACAAACAAAAACAATAAAAACTAGGCAACTGACGTCGCTACAAACCATTTATGAAAAATTACTTTTATCTAGTAAATGGTAAATTGCTTACAGACTCCAAAGTGCCTCACACTTCAATCATTCACCCATTCATACACACATTAACACACTGATATAATAAGCCACCGTGTAGCKATAGCTGCACACGGACACACTGACAGAAGCGGGGCTGCCATGCACCACTAGGCCCTCTGACCACCACCAGCAGGCAAGGGAGGTGAAGTGCTTTGCCCAAGGACACAACGACTGATGGATGGAACAGGGGTTGTCTGTGTGACCGTAAACCCCAGTCAGTGAACCAATCAAATGAGCCGGTGTCAAATCATGGTGGGCAGGCCGGCCCGGATGGATGGATGGATGGATGGATGGATGGATGGATGGATGGATGGATGGATGGATGGA